GGGGGGGAGCTGGGCATGATGGTACAAGCAAGTCAGGAAGCTGAGACAAGAATATCACAAGTTCAAGGCAGTCTCAGCCATGTAGTAAGGCCCTCAGTAACTTAGTGAGACCATGTCTCAAAATACATAATAAAAAGGACCAGAAATGTAGAACAGTGGTAAAGTACCCTTGTGTCTAATCCATAGTACCAAATAAATAAACGAAAACAAACAAACAAACAAAAAAACCCAGGGATGTAGCTCTGTAGCTCAGTGGTAGAAGTATACCTGACCAGCATGTATGAGACTTAGGGTTTGAGCCAGGTGCAATGGCACAAGCCTGTAATCCCAGTGGCTTGGGAGGCTGAGACAGGAGGATGGCGAGTTCAAAGCCAGCTTCAACAAAGGCGAGGCGCTAAGCAACTCAGTGAGACCCTGCCTCTAAAAAAGAATACAAAAGAGGGCTGGGGGTGTGGCTCAGTGGTCAAGTGCCCCTGAGTTCAATTTCTGGTACCGAAAAAAAAAAAAGAGAGAGAGAGAGAGAGAGAGAGAGACCCAGGGTTTGATCCCTAGCACCACAAAAAAGGAGGAAGGGGCTGTGATTTGGACACGGACAGGCAGAGAGACGGTCACGTGAGGATATGGGGAGAAGATGTCTGTCTGCAAGCCAGGGAGTGACTAAAGCCATCAGAAGCTGGGAGAGGAGAGAGGCCTGGAGCTGAGGCCCACCGTCCTCAGAGGGAACCATCCTACCCACACTTGATCTTGGACTTCTGGCCTCTGGACCTGGTAAACATCTGTGCTTTACGGCCCTGGGCCTGGCGCTGTGTCCCTGCAGGCTCAGGAAACCGACGCAACCCCAGACACTTCAACATGCGTGTCCTGACTGCGGGTCAGCGTTTGTGGGGATCCTTTCTTAACAGGCAGCATTCTGGACCGGGTTGAGGAGTGCCATCTGCTGTAGATCTAGAATCCTGGACCAGAAGAGTCCACTGTGACCTCCTAGGGGATGCCTTGGGGAGGCAGCTCTCCGTACTCCCTGCCCCCCACTGGGGCCCAGTGGTTGAGTCCTTTGTGAGGCAGGCCGAGGGGACAGGGGACTCTGAGGGCCAGTGGTCAGAGTAGGTGGTGAGTCTCCCCCTGGGAGCAGGCCTCCGATGCCATGGCGAGTGTGGTTGTGAAGACGATCTGGCAGTCCAAGGAGATCCATGAGGCCGGAGACCCCCCTGCAGGTGTCGAGAGCCGATCCCAGCTGGTCCCAGAGGCTCCCGGGGGGGTGACCAACCCAGCCAAGGGGATCACGAAGAAAAAGAAAGCCGTGTCGTTCCACGGGTGGGTTTGAAGCACCCTATTGTGCACGATCCTAGTGCTGGCACTGCCTCCAACATGGCACAAGTCCCACTGCGGGTGCTAGAGAGGAGGGGACAGAGGAGAAGAGGAGGGGGGACAGGCAAGAGGGAAAGAAGGAGACAGAGGGAGGCAGAGAGCAAGACATAGTGGGCTGAGCTGGTGGTGGCAGTAATCCTGTCATCCCAGGGAGGCTAAGGAAGGAGGATCACAAAATTCAAGGCCAGCGTCAGCAATTTAGCAAAGCCCTAAGCAACTTAGGGAGACCCTGTCCCAAAAAAAAAAAAAAAAAAAAAAGAGCTGGGGATGTGGTAAAGCACCCCTGCATTCCATTCCCAGTAGCAGGGGAAAAAAGGTATTGGACTGGCATGGGGGGGTGGGAAGAGTCAAGAGAAGAGAGGAGTCTAGGGAAGGGACTGAAGAAAGCAGGTGGTGAGGGCGAAGAGGAAAGAAAACAGGCGGCGGCAAGGGATGGGTGCAGGCAGAGGGCGGAGAAGGGAGTGGAGGGTGAAGGGGCCCTGCAGGCGGCAGGCAGGCTAGCGGCCCCTGGGGCGCATCCTCAGCCATCCCCTGCCTGCTGCTCCTCCCCAGGGTGGAACCCCGGATGTCCCATGAGCCGATGCACTGGTGCCTGAACCTCAAGCGGTCCTCGGCCTGCACCAATGTGTCGTTGCTCAACCTGGCCGCCGTGGAGCCCACCGACTCCTCGGGGACAGACTCGACCACGGAAGACAGCGGTCCACTGGCACTGCCCGGGCCCCCGGCCTCCCCCACCACACCTTGGGCTCCAGATGACCCGGACATCACGGAACTTCTGGTGAGGGACTCTGGCAGGGGCACACCCGTGTCCTGGCCCTGGTGGCAGGAAATGCTGAGGAGGGGGAGAGGTGTTCTTGGTGTGGAGCCACGGCCTCCTCCTCCTCCGACAGCCAGAGTGAATCTGGGAGTGGTCTTGAATGCGTTGGGTCACTTTGCAATGTCCCAAGTGAGGCTGGAGTCATAGCTAAGAATCACACCAGACCCTGCCCTTGGAGAGCTTCCAGTTGGGTTTCGGGGGGAGACCCAGACCAGGGGGATGTATTCTGTAATGGAGGGGATCCCAGCGAAGGAACCCCCAAACCAGGCTGGAGGACTCAGGGAAGGCATCCTGGAGGAGGCGGCGCAGAGTTGAGTAGGAGTTCTCTACAGGGTTAGGGCCTAAGAACTGGGTCAAAAYGGGGAGGTGAGCAAGTTGAGGGTAATTAGGGAATTCCGGACAGGAGCATGGAGAGCCACAACTTAGACCTTGAACTCTGCCTCCCTCTGCCCCATTCCTGGGCCAGGCTTGGCTGRCTCCACACAGACACTAAGAATTGCATTTACATAGCAGGATCATGATCACGGTTATTGCTCKATTTTACTGGAGCACTTTCTAGTTCTGGGAGCTGACATTTCCTCATCTGTAAGATGGAGATGCTGCATTTGTTCTTTCAACAAATATTTCTTAAATGCCCAAGATGTGCCCGCCAAGCCAGGTGTGGTGGTGCATGCCTACAAGCCCAGTGCCTCCTCAGAAGGCTGAGACAGGGAGAAGGCAAGTTTGAGGCCAGCCTGGGCAATTTAGCAAAGCCCTGTCTCAAAATTAAAAATAAAAAGAGCTGGGGATATAGGTAGTAGCTCAGTGGTAAAGTGCCCCTGGGTTCCACCTGCAGAACCAGAAGGAATATTAAATTAGTAAGTAAATAAATAAGGAAAAGGAAAAGAGAGGGGCTAGGGATGTGGCTCAGCGGAAGAGAGCTGGTCTAGCACGCCCGAGGCCCTGGGCTCAATTCCCAGCCCCCACACGCACACACACACACACACACACACACACACACACACACACAAGAAAGGAAGAAAGAGGGAAAAAAAAAGAGCAGAGCAGATCCCAGGCCAGAGTGTCGCATGTCAGAGAGACCAGCTAGAGGGACATCGGGGAGGGCACTGGCCACACTGATGATGGGGAGCCATGTGGGTTCATGGGGGAAGGCGGCTGGGCTGGGCACGAGGCTATACTGGAATTCTCTCCTTCCCTGAGGCTCCTCTGTGGCCTTTGGAGGGAAGGTAGGGAGGCCAGGGAGGAGGCCAGGGAGGAGGCCAGGGAGGAGGCCAGGCAAGGGTGCGGGGAAGGAGGACAAGGAGATGCTGTCCGGAGACTTCTCCTCCCCCAGTCGCAGCAGCTCTCCCTCCTGCCTCAGGAGCCTCTCTCGGCAGCACTGCAGCTGTCTGCCTCCCACCAGAGCTATTCTGAGTCATGTCCCCCAGTGGCTGGTGACGCCTGAGAAAGAGCCCTGGGCAGCCAGATCAAGGCCTGAGGCGTGGTGAGCTTCTGTGGCTGCGGGAGCACCAGCAGGTTCCTCCTCTCAAAATGGAAACAGTAAAGACAGCCGCCTGGGGTTGCGGGTAGGGGCAAGGGACAGAGAAGGGGGACAAGAGCAGACACTGGCCCCTGCCCAGGTCTGAGCTGCATCAAGAGAGAAAGCTGGAGAAGGTGGGGAGGAGGGTGTGAGAGGGGGACAGAGACCCAGAGAGGGGCCCTGGGAGCCAGGAGGCCATGGAGACGCTGGCTGAGAGAGGAGTCCCTGGCCGGAGGGACACAGGTAAAACTGGAAGGATGACTCTCACCTTGGCTACACCCCCTCAGGGGCTGCAGGCTGCTGTTTGGAAGCTCTGGATTAATCAGTGGCAAAGACTGACAGCGTAGATCTTTGGACCTCTGCTCAGGGTCTGTTTTGCAATCTGCATATTTTCCTGTGGCCACTGTGAGGGTCCATGTCATCAAGGCCCCTTGCTATAGGTCCTGTCCATGGTCATTTTTAAGGGCCAACACTAGTCACTGTGCTTGGCTACCAATCTRTTGAGTCATTGACCCCGATGCCATCAAGCTGTCATTATTCCCATTTTATGGGAGAGGTTAGCAGAACTGCAGAGCTGAGAGTTGGACAGCGCATGGGTGGCCAAGGAGGAACTTGTCCCCAGGACTCTCGCTCCCCAACGTACTGTGTGCTTCTCAGCCGAGCAGGWGGGATCGGCCTTCCCCACTCCCCTCCCTCTGCCAGCAGAGCTGCACCCCACATCCAGGGTCTGCAGCTGCAGAAGTACTGGCCAAGGCCTCCAGGCCAGCCCACTTCATCGCAGGAGCCATTCTCCAAAAGTAGCTGTTAGTCGAATCTCCGTTTTACAGGTTGGGAAACAGAAGCACAGGGAGGTAAAGTCCCCTCCCTGAGGTTGTACAGCCAGTGGGCGGCAGAAATGAGTTGAACTAGGATCTGTTCCCTAGGTCGCCAGAACAGTCACGCACAGGAGTGTTCTGAGTCTTCAGTTTAGAAAGACGCTCTGTATTGGTTAGCTACTGCTGTGAGACAAATACCCCCCAGACATAAAACAACACACCTGGAGTGGTTTAGTTGAGAAGTTCCAGGGGTGTGTTGAGGTTACAATTAAGATTCTGGCCCAGGCTAGAGTCATCGGAAGGTCTGATTGAGGCTGGAGAGATGGTGCCCTCCCAGGGCCCTTGGGAGGTTTCAGTTCCTTCCTGCCTTTTGGGTGGAGGCCTCACTTCCTCAGGACACTGGTTTCTCCATAGTGGCTGTGTCTGACATGCCAGCTGTGATTTCTCCAAGCGAGACACAGCAAGCAGGACCCACAGTTCCTCTTATGAAGAGCATCATTTCTTTTAAGTTGTACCTTACCACTTTGTGTGTGTGTGTGTGTGTGTGTGTGTGTGTGTGTGTGTGTGTGTAGGAGGGTGCTGGGGATTGAACCCATGGCCTTGGGCATGCAAGGCAAGCACTCTACCAACTGAGCTATGTCCCCAGCCCTACTTCACCACTTTTGCTTGACTTTACTTACGTGACCCGAGTCACCTAGTCCAGCACATTCAAGTGAGGGGACYAAGACTCCAAAGGAATGTCAAAGAATTTACAATCATCCTTTAAACCACCGTACTTTGTGAGGTTTTGTAGAATCCTCAAAAGATTCTTCTTTGGAAGTTTTAAAATTATCTTTATTACTAAATCTCTTGACTTATGAAGGAGTCTRTTCATATTCCTTTCATCAACGTGAAGAAGTTCTCTGCCATTCTCAGCTTGTTGGGTTTTTTCCTAATGAAAGTGGTTGGATTTCATCAAATGCTTTTTCTCCATGGACACATCACGATAATGTTTTTATTACCAGGGATTGAATCCAGTGACCCAGACACACTCCCGCCGTTTTGTTTTTGTTTTTGTTTTTGTTTTTCATACTGGGAATTGAACTCAGGGGCACTGGGCCACTGAGCCACACCCCCAGCCCTATTTTGTATTTTATTTAGAGACAGGGTCTCACTGAGCTGCTTAGCACCTTGCTGTTTCTGAGGCTGGCTTTGAACTCATGGTCCTCGGGTCTCAGCCTTCCGAGAATTACAGGCCTGCGTCACTCCCCCGGCAATTCGTTGACTTTCATAGGATAATTCCCACTTGGTCACGGTGTATATTGCCAGAATAAGTTCCAGTATTTTGTTGAGGATTATCCCAGATATATTAATAAAAAATACTAGTCTGTGAATTTCTKTTGTGATGTCTTTGAGAAAGTACTGGCCTTATAGAATGAGTTAGGAATTGCCACCATGTGCCACCAWGACCAGCACCTCCCTCTTCTATTTTTTAAGAGAATTTGAGATGGATTGTTGTCATTTCTTAAAAAGATTGGCAGAATTCACCAGTGAAGCCATCTGGTCTTGAACTTTTCTTCTTGGGAAGTTTTAAAATTATTTTTGTTACTAAATCTCCTTACTTATGAGTCTATTTGTATTTCCTAGTTCTTCTCGTGTCAGTTTTGGTAGTTTGTGTGCTTCTAGGCATTTCTCTATTTTTTTTGTTGTTATCTAGTTGGCATACAATGATTCATAGTAATGTTTTTGTTACTCAGTGATAGAGTGCTCACCTAGCATGCAGAGGCACTGGATTCGATCCTCAGCACCACATAAATGTATAATAAAGATATTGTGTCACCTAAAACTAAAAAAGAAATATTAAAAAAATATATTTTTTTAGTTGTCAATGGACTTTTATTTTATTTATTTGTATGCGGTGCTGAGAATTGAACCCAGTGMYYYCCACATGCTATAGGCAAGCACTCCACCACTTAGCTACAACCACAGCCCCTCAATAAACTTTTTAAAAAATGCATTTCCAACTATAAATTTTCCTTAGAGCATTGCTCTTTATTCATTCCTTAAGTTTTAGTGTGTCATATTTTCATTTTTCTTCATCCCAAACTTTTTTTTTGGGGGGGGCACTGGGTGTTTAACCAGGGGTGCTTTATTACTGAGCGACATCCCCAGCCCTTTGTATTTTTATATTTTGAGACAGGATCTTGCCAAGTTGCTTAGGGCCTCACTAAGTTGCTGTGCCTGGCCTCAAACTTGCTATCCTCCTGCCCTGGCCTCCTGAGCCTCTGGGATTACAGCTATGTGCCACCACACCCAGCTTAATGTTGTCTTTCAGAAGTTTATTTATGATGTATCTAGGCACTGTTCCTTTGGTTTGCAYTATTAAGGGTCGTTGGCTTCCTGGATGTGTTGAATAATTGGGGAAGTTTTCAGCTATTGTTTCTCTACTCTTTCTACCCTTTCTTCTCCTTTTGGGGACTCCCTGACCCATAGTGTCTTGGCCTCTGTTCAGTTTTCCTCATTCTTTTAATGTTCCTCAGATTAGACCTTTTTTGTTTGTTTGTTTGTTTGTTTTTTGGTACCAGGGATTGAACTCAGGGGCACTCAACCACTGAGCCACATCCCCAGCCCTATTTTGGAATTTGTTTAGAGACAGGGTCTCACTGAGCTGCTGAGGGCCTCGCCATTGCTGAGGCAGGCTTTGAACTYGCAATTCTCCTGTCTCAGCCTCCTGAGCCACTGGGATTACAGGCATGTGCCACTGTGCTAGACTGGATCATCTCAGTGAACTACGTTCTCAAGTTTGTTGATTCATTCTTCTGCATACACAAACCTGCTACTGAGCTCCCTCTTGTGAATTGAATTTCTCACTTCACTTATTGTGTTTTTCATCCCTGGAATTTCTAATTGGTTCTTTCATCTGGGAAGGGGGAGGTTATATAATTATGTCACTGTATTTATTGCTGGGTATAGTGGTGCACATCTGTAATGCAGGGTGTTCAGGAGGCTGAGGCAGGAGGATCAGAAGCCAGCCTCAGCATCAAAGCAAGGCCCTAGGCAATTTAGCAAGACCCTGTCTCAAAATAAAAAATAAATAGGGCTGGGAACGTGGCTCAGTGGTAAAGCTCTTGAGTTTAATTCAATCCCTAGTACCCAGCCCC